CACCCCCACACCATTAAAACATATATCAAGAGTTTTTTTTCTGACTCAATAGCAATACACAATAAGACCACAGCTCTCTAACCACAAACTACAAAACCATCAAGAAAAAAAAAACCACCCGGACGACAACTCTTTAAGCTCCAAAATCAGTCAGAAACAAGCCAGCAAAACTTTAACGTAAAACACGAAAAAGCTGTAACGTTCTTTTTGGTCAGAGTCTTTCTCATGATGGAGGGTAAATCTGGGATGGCTTTTCTGAACCTCATGACTTGTGCGCATATTAAAATGGGGCAGATATGTGGAGGTGGACACTCTGACAACACTCTAGGTTGTAAATTGAACACTATAAGAGTTAATAAACATTAACATTGTAAATACAACACTCACTGCACACTGTAAAGTGTTAAAGGTAACACTGAATGTTGTGGACACATATAGACACCATGCAGTGTTAATTTAACACTGGCACATTTGCTGTGTACATAAACTGACCTACATTGTAAATAAAAATACTTCAGATCCTTGAAGAAGAACCTTCTTATCTATGACCATGATGATACATTATTACAGTTTATTATCATTAATGTTTCCCTGGTATTTTGCTGGTAAGTCCTGGTTCTTTGGAGGCGCCATGATGAGCCAAAATACGGCCTTTATTTATTCAGCAAGATGTTCCCCATGCGGCTGAGACTGCAGCCTCTCCTAAGTGTCGCCTCTCCTCCCTTCTCTCTCCTAAGCTGCCTTACAGCCTCACATCAGCCTTTCCCCTCATCATCCTGGGGTCTCCTGGCCCCGCCTCCCCACAACTGTCCTGTAAGCTGTCCCATTGTTAGCATCCATTGCTAATTGTTAGCATTCCAGTCAGACTCAGTATAGAACGGTGGGAAAGTACAGTTCTGGATGATAAACCACAATAACATTATACACCATACCTTCCGGGGGTCAGAGAGCCGGGCTTCCAGAGTGAACCTGGCAAAGGCCGGAGCCTCAGTCATTCTGCTACATCCTAGAAAGTACAGACACACTTTTATAAGTGATATTAGGATCCATCAGTAAATACCTTCCTTCTGTCCAGATGGTGATTCCCCCTGTTTAGGCAGCAGTACAGACAGTGCATGGTGTCAGAGTGGATATATCAGAGTTCTGTGTGTGTAGCACAGTCCAGCTTTAAGTGATGAGAATATATGATGTTTACAGTGATATGGATTCAGTTAAACTGTTTTTGCTGTTAACTTTCATGTTATTTTCCTCCCTTTAAATATTACCGTCCAAAAAGCCATTGTTCAAAATAATTTCTAATAGTAAATCAAAATGACATTTATTTTACTCAACTAAAAATAAATAATTGTCTTAATTCAGTTGTTACAACCTTCAAATCTATGTAATTACAGTGGTGTTGAAAGCAGTAGTTGTCTACACTGCTGTCATCCAGGCTAATTTATTAGGTTTGGGTTTTACTCAAAATAAAATCCAATCGACAGAGTATCTGTTTGTTTAGTTAATTTGAATGCTCCCCAATTTTTACTGAATATTTTCTGTAAGACATACAAAATAAAGGAAAAACCTATTTGAGCCCCAGAGGAACCAATCAGCAGCGGATATTTGAGTTTTCAAGCAAAATGAGGCAAATAACAGAATTAGGCGGTGCATCAGGAACAAAAACAGCAAGATTAATGTACCAAGGGAGACAGTCTGAAAAATCATAACCAAACACAGACAGGGGTAGAATTACTTTGTTCGGGGGGCACAGCAATGTTTGCCTTTTATCCCCTCAAATATACAGTAGGAGGGCACTAAGGCATTTTCCCGTAGGTTCGGAGGGCACCAAGGCAATCAAGAATTACTGGCCAGGGCACTGAGGC